TTGGAATTATGTAATAGGTAAACCTATTTACATTTAATATAGCAGAAATAGCACTAGATTGCACATCGTCTAATTTGACGTCGGATTTTAAACTCTAACAAAGTATCATCCGCAAATACCACTATACAATTTTGTCAATTATGTAGGATCATTTATGTAAATTAAAAAGAGAAATCTGCCTAAGATTGATCCTTGAGCAATCCTTGTCTCACTATTAGCTAACTCAGACTACAGCTTTATAATCTTTTCAAATACTTGAATTAAGAAAAAGAAAGGGTGTATCTTGTGGAGTTCGCGAATGAAGTAGTTATGAAGTTCTTAACTGACGCCTGAAACTTTTTGTGTCTCCTTGCTGGGTGAGGAATTTCAGAACATTGGTACTAGATTTAATCCGTATTTAAAAAAATCTTCCCGATTTTCTTCTATGGTTTACGATGGACCAAAGACTACTGACCTAATTACTATAAAACTTGGTATTTATTCTAATAATGAGTTACTTAATTGGTAACGACTTAGTTAAGTATCGTCACTGATGTCCTACATGTCTATTCCGCGATTTTAAAAACGTACCTTCGTATTATACTCAAGTCTAAATTTCAGCATTTATAATATTTGCATACGCCCTAAAGGACAAAATATGTTAACTTACACATATACATATATATACTATAGAAAAATATAAGCTATCTGGTCAGATAATGAGACCTTATTCGATTTTAAAATATTGCATGTGTTTGAGCAGATCGAATGGGAGATTGGTAGGGAATTCTAGAGACGAATGGTTAGGACAGTGAAAATGTCGTACTATTATGTGAAGGACTGAGCAGGGATCATCACACAAAGGCTTCTAGTACTACGCAAAGCAGAATACTACGCAAAGCAAAAAGCAAAAAAATTAGAAATTCATTTTTAGATATTCAGGAATTGAGGCATGTTGGAAGTGGAAGTTTCATAACCATACAGCTATTTTACGCATATAATACAGGCAAAAGATAAAATGAACCAATTAAATCACTTTATAGATATATTTGGTAATCATAGTTTACTATTGGTATACATGCAAAAGATGTTTAATGCGTAAATATAGTTATATATTATAATGTCTAAACATAGTTAACACTTTTGCTGACCGATGACGTTAACTTGTCATTGTATTTGCGTTGTATATTTTAATAGTCAAATAGTTTATTTACAACATATTACTTCCATATTCCATTAATAAATAATAGCCTGAGATTTGACCTAGTTTCTGTGTACAATTTCCGGTCAACAATTATTTGCTATATTTGAAATCCAAATTAAGTTACTCAGTGCATATCAGTGAACGACATAAAGACATAAAAATGTATATGTATTAAATTACACACATCAAATTAACTTTATTATATGAAATATAGTAAAAAAGTAACCATTAAAATTCATTTAAAGAAAAATATTAATTTATTTTAAATAATTAAAATTTATAAAAATTCTTATAATGCGTATGAAGTTGCGTGCATTGGTATTACTTAAGCAATATAATATACATATTTAATAATAAAGCTTTCACTGGAAATGTTAACTACACATGAGACATCCACTTTGTCAATGATGTTTCTTTGTTTACATTTTAGGTCGAATTTCATTTTCAACTACATATAATAAAAAAGTAACTGAACTCTGCTTTGACATGGAAGATAAGAAAAGCTATTCTAGGAGCTCTTTATAAACATTAAAGAACCAACCAGTATTGTTAGATTTTTGTCTATTTATTTATGCGTTTGTGTGCACTAATCTCAGAAACTTTTCTGTATATGAATATGGTTTTCACTAATTTATTGTGGTAGGTTTCACTTAAAAATCAGTTTGTTTAATTTCAAATGATTTAAAACAAAAAAATAAAAAATTCTAACAAAAAAAGTTGTATGAATATGAAACCGTCGTCTAAATTAATCTTTAAATAAATTTTGTGGAACGAGCTACTCCCTACTAGGTTACAATGAATTTAAACTTGTTAATAAATTTATATGTTATATATAATATCGCTATTGCATACGAACAATTTCGCATTGCTTATAAATGAAAAGCTGTCACCTACTTCCATTAAATTGCTTAAAGAAAGTGTAGGTAATACTGTGCCTACTATCTAATTATAATTTTAATTCCACTAAGACAAGTACACTGAATACTGTTTAAGTAATCACTGACACAAATTTAAAGTATTTTCTTAAGCTGTTTGTACAACTGTTACTTTTGTTTAATGAACAGCCCCTATGACAAAATTTTTTAACATTAAATTGAATATAAGTTATACCATCTTAAATAAGTAAAAACGATACAGCAATATTTTATGTTAATACAATAAATAAATAAATTCGCTACAAATGAATGAACATATCATTCATTTATTGCTATGCCGATACTACCTATAATACTAACTTTATGAAAATTGGTGTGTAAATGATATGAGTAAAATGACTTTTCAGAGAATAAATATCATGTGAATGTATAAATAAACAATAATATACAATCTATTTATTTTCCTGTAATAAATTTGTAAACACCGAGCTACTGTATTGAGGATTCAAAATTCATACTATACTTCTTAATAAAATCGTAAAAAAAATTATTTGTGTTTATTTATTGCATTATGAAATTCAGTATATTAAAAAAACTGAATATTTAGATTAGATTAAAGTATTGTCAAATAATAGAAATAGGTATAGGTAGATGTTACCGTGGCAGATTGCCGTCGTCAGTTGCTTTACCACAGAATCAATTTGTTTTATTACATTAATTCATATGTATTAAGGTAATTATTAAGGTATTTGTAATATGGGCCTAGTATCCTGAAATAAATAAATACAAAATTTTTACAAATAATTTAAAAGTAAATCTATTTTTATATATTCACATCTGTAAGCAGTTTTAATACATCTTTACAACTTAATGAACAATATTTTATTATTATTTATACTTATCACATCATGTTACCACCCCATATTCTAATATTCAATAAAAAAAGTAATACTTAATTTTTTTTTATCAAATATTAGAATATGGAAGAATAGAATATAATTATTTTCATGTAATAAGTGACTTCTGGCCCAAATGTAGTGTTTGCCAAATATTTGATGATATATTAGCAATAATTAGCTGCAATAATTGCTAAATCATGTGTCATACAATGTTAAAAATTTTTTTTGACTTGTCTATTAATTATTATAATGGTGTATAAACAACAGATAAAATTTTGCTCTGTTAGTATGGATGATTGCAGGTTGTAGATTATAATCAATGTGCTCCCCTTAATAAGATAGAGTATAATAATGGATGGCTCATCAATCATACTTGTCAACAGGTGCTGCTTGTGAGGACTGATCTGTCCGGCTTACGAACACTGATTAGACTCTTTACTCTTGACAAAATTGCAACAGCATATGTGGTGATGGTCACTCTACTCCCCGAAATTTAATTTAAAAATGAATCTGTATTATTGTAAACATATACAACCATATTTCAAAAGAATATGAGTTGATTGATTGATTCTTGTCAGTTCTACTCATCAATAAAACATTCCGAACTGATGGTAGATCATTTCATAAGAGATATGTCAAATCTACTGTCTGTAATAGTCTTACATGGATAAAGATATTTTAATTTGATTTCATAATTACATTATTTAAAAAAGTATACAATATTAAAAAGGCTAAATAATAGAATATATAGTACAAACACTGCACTACTTGGAACTAGATAGAACTTTATAAATCAAGTCATGTCAGTTATTTATAAATCCAAAATGTAAAAGAGATTTGAATTATCACTTATATGTTATAGAGTGTTAATGGAATCATAAAAAAATGTTCAGAATTTTTACATCTTTTTATGAACAATCAATAGTAACTACCGGATGGAAATATATTTCTTTTAAAGGTAATAAATAGACCACATATTCATTTAGTATTAATGAAATCCATAGTTTAGAGAATTTAGTTAAACAGGCAAGAATATGTATAGTTCAGATTACATGTAAGTTTTATTTCCAATATTCATAATTACAAGTCGTATATGCAATAAATATCCAAATATTGCCACTCTGAGATGTTTAACTACTAACAGGTCAAAAAGTTTGTTGTTTCATCAAGATCTAATTGTGATATTTGGAGAAAATATCGTTGCTGGTTTATACTTCTTTACTGAGCAAAGAAAATAATTTCAAATGATACTTGAAGAAATATTACTTTTCACGGATACTCCAATTGGTAATATTATACTTTATAGTGACAAATTCTCTTTATTCCAGGATTGCAGATTGAGTTAACAGTGATCAATCTTAACAATATTTTATAATCGCGAAAGTTTGTGGGTATGGATGAACTACTGATTGGATCTTCATGATACTTTACAGTAATATAGCTTATACATCAGAATAAAACATAGACAGCGTGGGCACAGCTAGTAGGCTATTAATGTAATGTGGGTAAAACTGCGGGCACAGCTCATAAAAGATAATATCAGAAGATAGCTAACTAAATAAGAAAGGTCAGACAGCTTATAAAAATAGCAGGATTATCAAATACATATTTTTTTAAAATCAAAAGGTGCTCCTAGTGCATGACAACGCACCTCTATGTACAAGAGCCGTGCTATGATGAGTGTCCTGCAGACAGTTCTGCAGGGCTTTGAAATTTTGGATTACCCACGCTAGAGTCTAGGCCTGGCTCTAAGCGATTATTATCTATACAAAACTAATGTATACAGACGCGTATCATGCAGTATGCACTATTTTTGTTTGTTAGACATTTGAGAGAAGTATATAGAAAGTTAAATATGTTGATTCAATGTAATTGGGTGTATTGAAAATTATGTACGTTTCAAGTTCGAGTAACACGCATACATATCCGACGATACTATAATGCCTTTGTGCTAGGAAGCAGTTTTTATAATTTCGCAAAAAAATACATACACCAGCAACGGCATTGGTATCGATTTGAAATGATATAAAATAAAAAGCATACCACGTTGTCAGAATCCTCAGTAGTTCAGGCACCAATAATGAAGAATTTTGTAATAATAAGTTTGTTATCTGAACGTAATAATTTGTTTATGATTATTTTTATTATAATAAAGATACACCGCGCCCAGCTGGCAATATGCAATCACAGGAACAGACAAAATAAATACATTATTTTTTTTTACCTGTAAATATATTGATGGCTTTGGATATTTGTTCGGCGTAAATCTTTAGTAAATAATGTTTTGAATTTTGAAATTTGACAAAAGTGTAATTTATAACAAAATAAAATCATAATGTGACATTGTATTTTTCTTATATGACATTAATTTTATTGTGATATATTAATGGGCTTATGTGAAAAATCTACTGATAATTTATTCCGATAGATGGCATCATTGTATTATAATGTACTGACAGCAGTTCCGAATACCATCACATTGGCGAGAGTCGCAAAAGCATTTAGCATCAGAATTTATTGATGGAATTAAGTACAGCGAGTAATTATTTATAACTATAAAGATTAGCAATATTTTGAATATGCAATTATTGTTACAAAATTAATTTATTTTATAGACATCCTTTTGAATTTTACCTAAATTCGACTGCTTTGCGGTTCTTTTATTTCTTTGAGTGAATATTCTTCATATATAGAAATAGTACATGTCATCTCTACACTACATTACTTTTACTGTAATATTATGTTATCTGTGCTTTTACGCAATGCTAGTGGATGAATTACACATATACTGTTTAACGCCATCTGCGACAATCGGCGGCGGCGACTTCAACGAGCAACTTTCATTTTGGTGAGTGTAATTAGATGTCGCTATACAGAATTACCTCTCCTTTTCCCAGTTTTTGTTGCCATTCCATAGTGAACTTATTGTTATGTTATATATGCAACAGTTATTGATGTATTTAAAATAAAAGCCTTGTTTTTATATTGCTTGTTAGGTACTTAAACTATATAAATAAATATTAGAGCAAAACGAACGCCTTGCCCAATTTGACTATTTTTATTTAAGTATTTCTTGAAGTTTGAAAACGGTTCATACGACGAAAAATAGTTAAATTGATAATTCCTTTTCTAAACAATGCTGCCAATTTAAACAATAATATAATTGGTGGCTATTATAAATGAGGCGAAGTCATAACTATTATCGTTTTGTTTTCAAATTATTATTATTTTATATTTTTAAAAACACTAAGTATTAAAAGTATTTGCACTTCCTATTTAAAAACTTTTTGTAAAATATTTTGCTTACCTCGGCACATTTTTTTTTTGTTGTTCTTTAACAGAAAAAAAATGTGCTGAGGTACATAGTAGTAATCATAGTAATTTTTCTGCAAATGTGGAATAGTGCTAATCATTAGCGAATGAGTGATCATAGAATGATAATTATTACATAATTTAATTAATGTATTCAGTGGTACAGGGGTCCTAATGCATTAAGACCTCTAGACTGCGTGTCCTCAAGGATTCTCTCTAAAACAATATACTAATTTGTTATATCAACGCTAACGATTTAAAAATTGTAACGATTTAAGTATATAGTTAAAATACAGATTCTGTAGGATTTAACGTATTAGAACGTTAGTTACCTTCTAATACCTAATTATGAATATTGAATTTGATCTCTTATATTATTTTTTAAAATATAGTGTTAGAAATAGTTTCTTGTATACAGAGGTCAGTTTATAGTCGAGTGAACTTGCCTTGAATGTTGAGAGAGCTATGAGAGACTAAACTCTGATTTATATTCACTCAGCGAACTGCCCCGCTTTCAGCCCCTCAGTTGGCACTCACGCGAGCTAGTACTGCCAGAAACCGCAGAGAATTGCCACATTAAGCAGCAAATAACCCCGTCGCAACAGAAATTTAAATCCATATACCCAAAACACTTCTTTACTGACCCCCGTAACAACGTCAATTAAATATCCATGCCATTTGTAGCTTACTGAATTTTATAGATAATTATAGTTCATAAATATTTTTTTATAATATTTTCATATATTATTATTTACCTAACCTTATAAGGTATACGACATCCAAGGAAAACGATATAATGATTACATTAACGGTAAGTAGTACTACTAATTAATATTTTGACTAAAACAATATTTTAGTGCAGCGTGTCTCCAATCTTTTGTCTTTTCATGGGTAGATACCTACTTCTTTCTCGCCTATATCAGCCGTCAAGCAACTTGTTCTTAAAACTATGTTTTGAAGGTTCTGTGAAAGGTGAAGATAAGACACTGAAAGAACAGGATATGGCACGCACGCATATAATAGGTATAAATACGCATATAAACGCATTAACAATTGTGTACGGTTTCCAGAATAGTATGCTTCACTAAGAAAATATTGCTATATTAAATTTTATTATGAATAACTTTAAATCCGTAATCGGAAAAGAACTCATTGAATGATGTAATTTTATTGCTGTACGTATTTATCAAGTATGTTACCTTTTATTACATTAGGAGAACATAGAGTATAATTATTTATTTAAAATATAACTTTCTTCACTGCCTTCTAATTAAAACAACATTTTGTTTCAAACATTTGAATGTTGACAGGTTATTATGTATTATGATAATTTTTATTCGCTCAATAAATAATGTTATTTGATGTAGGTATAGGGGTAGTAAAGTCCTCGACAGGCGACTGCGGACCGGAAGACACAGCGTGGGAAGGCCTCTGACAAGGTGGATCGACAGTCTGGTCAAGGTCGCTGGATAGCGTTGGTTGCGAGTAGCGTAGGACTGATCGTCGTGGAGATTTTTGGGGGAGGCCTTTGTTTAGCTGTGGACGTCTTCCAGGCTGAAATGATGATGATAATGATTTTCTGTATAATGATATATATGTATTATGTAATGATATATATATATATATATATATTTATATATATATGAAGCCGAATGGGACACATGTACAATATGCATGTCAGTGAAACTGATTCGACTACAAGCTAAGTGAAAAATCTAAAAATAAATGTTGAACTGAAACTAAGTAACTCATGTAACCGCGCAGTTTATATGAAAGTTTGTAGAAATACAATTTTCACTTTGTTTGGAGAATATTGCTCTTTTTTATGCATACTTATTGCTTAACTCTATCTCTGCGAACATATATACGTTCGTGTTTTTGAAGGACCTAATAATTATATATACAAATAATTATACATACAAAAATCAAGTAAATTCTAATCACCCAATCAATGTAGGTAGATACCCTGAGAATGAATTACTTTTTAAATGAAATTAAATTTGAACAGTGAACGTATAACGAATATAAGTTGAATTTTATCATTAATGCACTCCACAGTTCGAAGATAATTGTACAGTTGGAAATTACATGGCATGATTTATGACTGGTCGGGGAAAATAGCGTAGTGTACAGTGTTCATTCTGGTCGATTGTTTTTTGCTCATTATACGAATAGGTAAAGATATATCAACAAAGGACTTGAGTGGATTTTCCTACTACGAATAATGAAACTATTAGGTAGTATATCAGACAAAGTTGACTGATTGCATTTTGAACAAAAGGAAAGGACGTAAATTAAAAATATTTTTTGTTTATAATAATGTAATCTCTATCCTTATTCGTAATTCTTATATCCACTTTTGTAACTTTGATAATGAATTCATGATAGATGAACCTGCACTCATTCACTTTCGCATTCCATACCTATAAAATTTTCGACGCACCGCTCATGTGCTCCTGGTCCTGAAAGCACCAGGAGCTTCATTATGTATTTTCAAATACCCGTGATGATATTTAGGTCCAATAACAGATTCTAACATATAGTAAGTATTATAATAAAAAGTAATTAAAAATTTTATCCATTAAAACGATACTTTAATCAAGGTAAAATTATTATACATAGGTACATAGATAAGTACCAAAATGAAAGTGAAAGCTGTAGTGCTTGAAATCCAAAACATTTGTTATGACACTTTATATAAATAGAATAACAACTTCAAAATAATTTTATCACTTAGTCGCAAAGTTTTTAAGTCTTTACATAGCTTTTTAAAAAATAAATATTTAATATAGAAATCCTGTTAAGATCAGTTAAAACCAAAGTTAGTTTTAAGCAAAATTATTTATTCAAGTATTTTTGGCGAAGTTCCCTGATTCATTTTGCTTTTGAGCTAAATGAGAGTCGAACTTGAAATATTGTAATGAATGATTCTGTAATTGACGGGGATAATTAAAATTTCGTTTTCTATCCGTGATTTTATTCCTTTCCATAATCCAAAGACTTTATTAGCTTTTATACTATTATCGTTATGTGATGTTTTCTCTATATTAGGTATGTAGATAATACATATTATAAAAATGCTATTATTAAATTCACGATGCCTCCATACTCCACTTAGTCAGTTAATGAATTTGTATTGTTTTTAGGAAGGCATAAAGTAGGTGTGGTCTTTATGTTTTGTTGAACTTTTTATAAAAAGTATAAAAGTTGGGGTAAATTAGACATTGACCGGCTTCTGTTGTCGGCGTGAAGTCGGTAATTAAGACGGAAGGGGAGATTGCTTTCAAGGAGGATGGAAGGATGGAGGTGGGAGGTCGATTTTCAATTTGCATTTGAATCGGCATCAGGGCGCGTGGAGCCGGTAGAGTCCATGTTGTTAACAAAGGCCACAGATTAATTTATATGCAATAGGGAACGCAACAAATACATAAATATATGAATCGGTGACGTACTGTGATTTTTTTGCACACATGATTTACTACTATATAATATAATATTAAGACATTTTATACACATACAATATATATTATGAGTTTTCTTTACGTAATTATTGTGTTATATTTGGACACATAAAGCAAATTGTTGTTAATATTATAGTTTCAAGGTTGTGGACGATGGAGTGAATACAATGTGACATTACTCTGTCGACTTTCGAACTGGGGCAACAAGGGCAATAAATGCACAGCTAGAGAAAGGACATCTGAAAATAAAACTCTATTCTAGTCTAGCTGACTCGCCAAGGTAAGCTAACATAATAGAATATAATAAATGATTCGGAATCTTGAAATTTTATAAAACCATATTAAAGTTAAAGGTAAAAAGTAAATTACTTTTAATGATTAAATTTGTAAGATATGGTGGCAAGTGATT